GTATATCACACATCTGTAAATCGGTCTCAAAATAAGCCCTTTGCCCGACTATTGGCCAGAACAACAGTTTGCTGCGTACCCTGTTAACACAGAGAGATACGAGATACCCTTTCACAGTCTTCCTCCCTGGTTGGGAGGAAAGTCTTCCTCAAGGATCCATCAGGCCTTGTCCTGCACGTCGTCACTGGTGGCTCGAGTCAGGAAGATAGATGGCTGATACAGATTGGGTCCATATCCGTGCCGTCATCCTCTGCTGAGGGCCGTCTTGCTTCATACAAAACTGAGACACGCCTGCTTCTGTTGCATCTGAAAGCTGGCTGGCTGGTTAACTGGCCTAGAACGGAAGCAACATGCAACAATCTGGTCTCTCTGTCTGCACATACAGATCCCAGATGCAAACAAAGAGTAAAACTGTATCTGTTCATAGACACAGATAAGCATGTGCACCAGAGTCAGTGTCCCTGAGTTTTAAAAGTTTCGACTGGGAAGACTTCATTTCAAGTTGTATTTTAATGGCAAAACTTGCCGATGACCACCAGCTACTAACTCACCGATGAAAAACTAAACTGTGTTGAATTTTGCTTGTGTCAGCAACATCAGACTACTGTACAACATGCCTGACACATGGTGCGGGATGTTAACCAGGTAGAACCAGACATGACCTTCTACCGCTGGCTGGCTCAGCTGAGAGATTGCACGGTGAGAATGGCGAAGCCCCTTCCCTCAGTAGTACACACACACTACACGTCATCCTGTCAAGTATGACCAGTCACCAGCCCCTCCCTACTCGTCCTATAAAAAAAGGCAGCTAATTCCAACGTGCACACAAAGACCGGGTTCAGCTGAATGGCCTAAATGGCAGCGGAGCTCCTGGCCACGGCGGCTCAGACCAGCTGAATGGTCCTCATTGTGTCCCCATGGTCACAGGGGGCTAGCAGAACTGGGTTGTTTTTTAAGAGACCATTTGGCAGGCCTGTGTTCTTATTCGAGCAACGCAGGAACAGGCATTTCCACTTGGTTCAGAGGAGCGCTTGTTATGGAGCCAGAAAAATTGCCCATAAAGGTGATGGCATGCCGCAGTCCTGAATGGGAGAGCTGGCTTACATACACATGAATTTTAAATGTTGCAAACCTTAAAATGTTTGGCTACCATTGCTAGGTGAGACAACGATGTACTCAACTACATTCAATACTAGCGGGCTGCAATCCAGAAAGCATTCAGCGGCTATGTCGTCAGACAATATGTGGAAAACATACAGTGAGTAAACATGGCCGCCTCAAGTCTCATATGTTTCTCAACAAGGAAGAGTTCCTGTTCAACACTACATTACCAAAAATAAAAGTGATGTTTTTTACTGTAATCTATCACTACAAGCACATTTTGAGTTCAGTTCATACATATTCAGCAAATATGCCTCTTGGTGCCTGGTTGGAATCTAAAATATGTGCTTATTAACAAAGGGGTGGACAAAATCCTACGGATTGTGATGTAATACATTCCCTGGAAAAATAAATGGACAAAGTATTGATGTTTAAAAGTTAAAAAAAAAAAGAAAAATTTAAAAAAAAAAACTTGACAGAAATGTCTTTTTCTGGCTAATCCAGCTAATTAAATACCTTCTTCACAGTGTGGCAAAAGTCATCATTGGCCGCAATACTATGAGCGATGCTAAAGGGAAAGTTACTACAGTATAAATAATGCAATAATATGACAAAAATCACAGCAGACAATATATAATCTATCTATCTAAATTACACACACACACACACACACACACACACATCACATCATATAAGCTTTATAATGTCCTATGATGCAAGTGTGGTAAATGGTCAGCCTGTAAGTTTAAACCCTTTGTATAAATGGCATAAAACATCCCAAAAGCAATACATAAGCTTCCAATATTTGCTGACATAAGCTGTAAAAAAAGGCATCAATGGCCCCACTCTATTATTCTTACAATTAACAGTAATTAGCTTGTAAATGTGCATTCATATTTTTTTATGGAAGTACGACATGTAACAAAACCCTCAATTGCAAACAAACCATGTCTTACGGTCTCATTACAGGCATGATTGAAATGTTTGATCTGCAATTGTATTAAGAGTGTTGCACAAATTAATATCAAATACTGGGTATCAGTTTCAGAAAACACGTCACACTCCTAAAATAACCAGACGTCCATCAGCATGGATAAGTCGACACATAGCGGTCGCCGAGCAGGAAGAATGTAGCCCAGGTGCTGTGCAGGGGGACAAGGGGGATGCTGTCATTGGGATGTGACAGTGGGTGTAGAGCAGGACAGGGGCTAACAGCTGGCCCCCGGGGGGGGGGGTTTGATTGCACTATGCTTTGGATGAATGAATGGTTGAGATATTTGCAAACTACAAACACATCCATCACTCACCTAAATCCACAAGGGCAGAGCAGACACGGCGTACACCTGACACAGGTCTCACACAGGTTTGAGGATAGTGAAACCCATGACTAGCAGCGCACGTGGGTACACCTATAATTCCAGTTATAGCAGGTTCACGCAGGCGTGTAAGGGTCTGTGCGTACATCTCGTTGATCACTGAAGTCACGCGCTATGTTAATTACTGACAGTCATTCATAACAGTCTGTATCTTTCTATGACAACAGAGCAGATGATGACTGAGAGCCCCGTCATTACACCTCAACACTGGTCACAGTGACTCACAGCTTTTACTGCAATAAAACAGTTTTTTTTTTTCTGCTGAAACCTGAACACAGATGCCAAGTACAAAGCTAGTAAATCATGTCAGATTGGAAGCCATCAAGTGTTCACAGATGAATAAAATCCCCACCATATGAAGAAGCATAACCAAGATGACAGGAGTAGGGTCAAGTAGTGATGGCCAGACCTTGCCTCTAGCCATCCAGACACACACACACACACACACACACACACACACACACACACACAGACTGAGCTTTGGTTTTTGACATTCAATAAGTAAGCGAATGTGGAGTTGTGGTACAGAAACGAGTCTTTAAATCGACGTTTTGCTTTGAATGGTTTGAGATAAAACAGACACGAGGAAATGGATGGGAGCCTTTCTCTTCCTTCTGCTGCTTGTCATGCACTGCTAGCTCGCGTGCCCACATCCCGTGTTAGCACAGAATGAGCTAGCTTTAGACTCGAGCCTGACGTGAGCTCTCAGTCAAGTATTAAACACTCTTAAGTAGACTAAAGGGAGGAAATGTACTGCTTTAATCGATGCTGGTTAGCACCAGGCAGCTGAGACACATAACTAGCTTGAAAATCTGCTATAGCATCCCCCCCCAACACACACACACACACACACACACACACACACACACA